CGGAAGGTGTGGGCCAATGTATTCTATCTTCCCATCAGATCTTGGGTTAATAAAAATATTGTGATGTGTGAAATTTGAAGACAATCGGACTCTCACATCAAATTTAATAAAGGATATAATTATTCAAAATTTTGACCCTATGTGGGGGCGGTACTAGAAGAAATTGTCCGATCTATACCACCTTTATAACAGACCTTGTGTTGATGGAAATATTGAGATGTGCCTAGAATCGGATGTTAATTTCGCGTTTTAAGAGCTTCATGAATATTCAAAATGTTAACCCTTTGTGGGGGAGGTATCGGAAGGAGTGGGCCGATATACATATTCCATCTTCAAACCAGAATTTAGGTTAATGAAAATATTGTGGCATGTGTAATTTGAAGAAAATCGGACTATTACATCACATTTTATAAGAGTTATAATTATTCAAAATGTTGACCCTTTGTGGGGGAGGTACTTGATGGAGTGGGCCGACATTGTCCATTTTCACACCTAACCTTGCACTGATATAAATATTAGGATCTGCAAAGTTGAAGCAAAATCAGATAATCTTATCTCTTTCTGTGCAATAAAATATTTTCTTTGAAAATGTCGTCTTTTTGTGGGGGAGGTGCCAGAAGAAGTTGATCGATATTGCACATCTTCCAACTTAATCTAAGTTTGATAATAATATTACGATATACCAAGTTTGGGCCAAATTTCGGATATTCTCTTGGAGAGTTATCGTACGCACCAGGCACCGGCTAGATCGACTCCAAATCTCCCGAAACGGATTTAGTCCAAAGAGACCTAGGGTCTAAAACCGTTATTTCGATGAGTCACCTTTTGGCCGTATCAAATGATATATACCCTCTGTAGCCATATGGCTGAGGGTATAAAAAAGCAAACGCATAATTTTCACTTTTGGTATATAAATTTCGAATATAATTTTCATAAAAACTATTGCACCTAGATATATAGTTTATTCTGAGATTTATATTGAAATGTTGTGTAAAATATTTCCTCCTTTGGCACCTTTCGTCTAAAACGAAATTTTATGTTACTTTCAGGCGTCAACTCGAAAAAAGTCAAAGGAAAATTAGATCAAAAATATATGGGAATTTTTTGTTTTTGGGAACATTGATGCAAATATTTTTTTAATATACAGTCTTATCTTTGGTGAGGTGTACTTAACTTTGACCTTGAGGATTTTTTTGTCTTTGACGTCATCCTTCTAAAATTATGCATTATTGGAGACTTTTGCACAAACTCATAAAAAGTATATTTTTATACCCTCCACCATACATAGTATGGAGGGAAGTTCGTCATTCCGTTTGTAACTCATCGAAATAATAATTCTAGACCCAACAAAGTACATATTCTTGATCAGCCCATCCATATTTTTAAGGGAACTGTCTGAAATTCTACACATGGAGTTCCATGTGAGCACTTTACGCCCTGAAAGAGAATTCGCTATATAGGTCCGCCGGTATTCAGTATTTTGATGATTTTAGCAACACTTTTCAACGGAATTGTCTGAAATTCTACACAAGGAGCTCTTTGTGAGTACCTTATCCCCTGGAAGATAATTATCTATAGAGGTCCACGACATCGTATAGCCCCATTTAAAGGGTACCCCCCATTTTCGGTGTTTTAATGATTTTAGCCACATTTTTCAACGGAATTGTCTGAAATTCTACACAATATCGTATATCTGCCCATATATCGTCACCCTACGATATTCGGTATTTTTAAGGTTTTAACAAAATTTTTAATGGATTTTATTTATTTATTTATTTTTTTATTTTATTTATTTATTTTTTTTTTTTTTTTGAAAATTTCCTAATTTGTCGCAAATGGTGAATGGTATCCAAAGTTCGGTCCGGCCGAACTTACTGCTTTTTTACTTGTTAAACCTAAAATTTGTTTCTAATACATATGAATTCCTAGCGTTTGGTTAAGGTTTAGACTTTCGACGTTTTGTGAGACCTATAGTAGAAATCTGTGACATATGTTTTTGGTTCGCTTGTTTGCTAAAAAGAGGGGGAACTTGCCACCTCCATTGGTTACGTGTCTTCTTTTTTAACTCTACTTTCATAATCTGCTGGATTTCAACTGTAATTATTTTTTGTGTCGCACAGTGTAATATAGCCACTTTTTCACCTACCAGCATCTTGGCATTTAATTCCTGTTCCTTAATTGTGGGAATAGTTTGGTTGAACAACGAAACTCATCCGCCAAAAATCCCTATCTATGCTAGGAGGCACTGTGCCCGTGATTGTGTCTTGGAAAACACTTTCCTTTACCCGAACATCAATATGTTTCGGTTGTTCTCTGAAGTGGTCCTTGCTACAAAGAGCTTTCCCATGATATATGATGATATTGTAGCATCATCATAGACAAATAAAGGTATAGACTAAAAAGTTTTAAAATTTACCCCTTCCGGCAGATGTCACTCGAATTCGAAAACCATTTAATTATTTTTCTGCTATTTAAGTTTTATATTTGGGTAATGTCAATGTAACGAAGTCGCTGTTTCGTCTTCATTTGGTAAATAATAATAATTCATAAAAATATTCAATATTTTGCCTTTTGAGAGAATTAAAGCACTTTTTTCAAAGATAACAGATGAAACAAAGTTTTAGTCTATACCATAGACAAATAAAGGTATAGACTAAAAAGTTTTAAATTTTTCCCTTCCGGCAGATGTCACTATTATTGATCTTGGGCCAACCAAGTCACTCAGGGCTAGTGAAGTCACTCGACTTCGAAAACAATTTATTAATTTTTCTGCTATTTAAGTTCTATATTTTATATTTCACGACATATTTGGATAATATAAAAGTAAACAAAGTCGATGTTTCGTTTTTAATTGATAAATAATAAAGAATCATAGAAATGTTTAATATTTTGTATTTTGAGAGAATTGAGTGAGTCTACTGAACCTCTCTCACAGCATGAACGACATCTATTGAAGCACTTTTTTCAGAGATACCAGATGAGACAACTTTTTAGTCTATACCTAATTTGTCTATGTCTATACCATTATTTATTTATTTTAGGGCGAAATCTACCTGTCAATGATACTATCTATATTTACTGCCATCTAACGACGAATAGTAATATTACGGGCAAAAGATTACCATGACAACACTGTTTTCGTACAAGTGGCAACATTGAATTCCAACTGTTGAATTTATGAACACTTTCGAATCAGAAAAATACCCTTGCAAAAAAGGTATATTAAAAAGCAAACGATTATTTTTCCAATTTATTTATTTACAAAAATATTAAATTAATTACGATTTATTTTATTTAACCCCCTTAAATAATCACATGTTTGGAGAACAATTTTTTATGAATGAACACAACGAGAATCCTTCTCTCCACCCACCCACTCTATCTGACGAAATTCCTGTACACCAAGCAACCTACATTTAAGCCCCACGACTACGTAATATTTATATATACACACAAAAAAAATTAACTTTGTACCTACATACATATATTTTTACACATAAAATGACGACATTCATGCGTAACGAGTTACGGATTTATCTCTCATTTACGATGTTGGGGCTTAAAACGTTTTTTCTTTTCTCTGCCAAAAACAACAACTGATGGACATCCCCTTCCATTCATGGCATGGCGTCAGCATGTCTGGCTCTATAGTTTTATTAAAACGAAATTCTCTTTGCTTCGATTTGTTTTTATTACTCATTATTTGAAATTTTCTTTTCGTGAACATTGCAAAAAAAAAAAAACATTGGCGAAGGAAAATCATCCCCAAACAGGCGCAATACTGTAGTAGCCTTCAACTTGACATTTTATTTTTCTCAGTACTCACCGATTAACCACGTAGTGGTTACTTCATCGTAGAAAGCAAAGTCAATGAATTTAATGTCGCCGTCGTTATTCCAATGGCAAATACAGTTATATTTTGTTGCAGAATGAGCTATTTTAATTATTTCAATTATATATGAAATATATGAACTTATTTACTTTTTTACAGTATAATTTTTTGTAATGGTAAAAATAGACAATAATTTTTAATAATATTTACCATTTTTCTACTTTTAAAATATTGGAGCGATTAATAAAATCCGCTAAAAATTCTGTTAAAATCTTAAAAATACCGAATGTATCCATTATATTAGGTCTATACGGCGATGTGGGCCTACATAGGCATCTTTTTTTGTAATGGCTTAACAATATTCAAATGCGAAAGAAATCGGTGAATAATGTCGCTAAAATCACCAAAATACCAAATATTGGGATGTACCATTATATGTGGGCTATACCAAAACGTGGACCTGCAAGAACAATTTTCTATTATAGGCTGTAATACCCACTACGAACTTCAAATACCAAATTTGAAGCAATTCCGGTAAAAATACCGAATATCGGGAATGGGGGCTATACGAAGGCGTGGACCTGTACAGGTAATTTTTTGTCATGGGGTGTTATATCCATTACGAACTTCAAATACCAAATTTAATTAAAAATATTGTAAAAGACCGCAATGGCGCCTAATGCAAATTTATGTTTCAATACCCGATACCTAGCTTAATGTAAGTGTCATACAGTCAGTCGGCCGAATATCAATAACACAGTTTTTACCGGCCAGCAAATATATAGGCGTAGTTCATAATCAGAATATTGCAACATATTCCCACACCGCTACATAATATTTAAAAATTAATAATGAAATTTCGAAAAGTTGTCCTCTACTTGAATTTGTTCTTTCTTAATTATAATATAGTAATAATATAATTCAATTGTACTTAATTATTAATTATTTTTATTTTATTAATTGTTTATTAATAAATTTAAGATCGAAATCTCCTTTTCTTGGTTTAATATTTTATTTTTATTTTCTTGATTTTTAAAATAAACCAACAATTGACCACTACGCAGGCAGGCGGCTACTATAATCCAACATCAATGACGGCGTCGAATTACGCATCAATTTTGTTCAACCGGCCTTGCTCTCTTCCGAGATTCTCATCGGAGATAGAATTGCTCGTGAAAAATTAAATTGTGTAAAACGTTCGGTGAGAGTAAACCAAACTTGCGAAAAAAGTAGAACACACACAAAAAACGGGAAGAAAAAACAATTAGCAATAAACGCCTAACAATAAATTCTGAAATAATCGTTAAAAAAATCTGCACAATAACTAAATTATAAGAGATAGAGTGAAAATATTCCAATTCGAATGTCAATTTAGTCCAAAAAAATAAAACACGAAAAACGAAAGAAAGGCAAAAATTAAGCTGAAGGTGATTGATTTTTCCTCACTACCCGTTATCGTTGTCGTCGTCGTCGTTGCCATTGCCGTGCGTGTGTATATATCGTTCGTTGGTTACACTTGGTGCTGCTGGTGGTATTTGGAGAAAGCAATCAAGCAGAAGCAGCAGAGGAGAAGAAGAAAATACAGGCAGCAGTCAGCCAGTCCGCTGTCGTCGTGGTAGTAATAAAAGAAAAAGTCCATTAAGTCGTGTTTAAAACGACCCCTTCCCTACTGATAAGATTTTCGAGGAGACAACAACACCAGCCTAAAGATGGCCTTTGCAGGATTCAAGAAACAAATTAACAAAGCCAATCAGTATGTGACGGAAAAAATGGGTGGTGCCGAGGGCACCAAACTCGATTTGGATTTCATGGAAATGGAACGCAAAACAGACGTAACCGTCGAATTGGTCGAGGAACTGCAGGTGAAAACCAAAGAATTCCTACAACCAAATCCCACGGCCAGAGCCAAGATGGCAGCCGTCAAGGGCATCTCGAAATTGTCTGGACAGGCAAAATCGAATACGTATCCTCAGCCCGAAGGCCTTTTGGCTGATTGTATGTTGACTTATGGCAAAAAGTTAGGCGAAGACAATAGCGTTTTTGCGCAGGCGCTAGTTGAGTTTGGCGAAGCGCTGAGGCAAATGGCCGATGTGAAATATTCTCTGGATGACAATATCAAACAAAACTTCCTGGAACCACTGCATCACATGCAAATGAAGGATTTGAAAGAGGTTATGCATCATCGAAAGAAGCTGCAGGGACGGCGACTTGACTTCGATTGCAAACGTCGCCGACAGGCCAAAGACGATGAAATACGTAGTTCCGAGGAAAAGTTTGCCGAATCGTTGCACCTTGCCCAAATGGGTATGTTCAACTTGCTCGAGAATGACACCGAGCAAGTATCGCAACTGGTAACTTTCGCCGAGGCTTTGTACGAATTTCACTCTCAGTGCGCTGATATTTTGCGCGGTCTGCAGGAAACGTTGCAAGAGAAACGGGAAGAAGCCGAATCGCGTCCTAAACCGGAATTTGTGCCCAAAACTCTACTCGATTTGAACTTGGACGGAACGGGCAATGACACGGAGAGCTCGGGCACACCAGCCCACCATAGGGCGGCTGGTGCATCTCCGCTGCCATCGCCTATGCGTTCACCGGCAAAATCGATGGCCACAACACCGTCGCGACAACAGATGCAGCCCTATTGCCAGGCGTTGTACGATTTCGATCCTCAAAATCCCGGCGAGTTGGGCTTTAAAGAACATGAAATTATTACGCTTCTGAGTCGCGTCGACGAAAATTGGTTTGAGGGCTCAATCAACGGTCGCACTGGCTACTTTCCACAATCATATGTGCAGGTGGTTGTGCCACTACCAAATGGTAATTAAATAGCAAAAACAAACAAACACACAAGGATTATGAATGATGATGATGCTACAACTAACTAATGATGATGATGATAATAATGATGTGAAAAAATGACCCAACCAACAACTGACATCCAATCCAAACAACACCAGGAAGGAGGCTGTTTCTCTCGATAATGATTATTGCGATATTGATGATGATAATGATGCTAACAATGTTGATTATGCATATTATATAGCTTCAATGATTATGACATGCTGCAGAAGAAAATATATAGATACATATATACATATATTGGAAATGTAAGTTTTATATAAGACCATCTTATATTGTATTATGTATTTTAGTTGAGAGGCTGGGGAAGAACTCTAAAGTAATGGATAAATTAATGAATTTTTTCAGTGTCTATGCGGAACAGCATATATTTAAAGAAAACAAACAACAACAAAAAGAATTGGCAAACAATAATTAATTTATAATGAAAGCAAAAACCAAAAAAAAGCAAAAGAGAAATTAATTAAACTTAAATTATTGCAAGAAAAACATCTTTAATTACAATTAAATTTTACAATTTAAATGTTAATTATAAAACAAAAAACAATTTATGAAAAAAAACCAACTGAAAATTCGAGATAAATTAAAAGATAACAAAAGAGATACAATTTTAACGAGAAACATTTAACATCAACATTTAGTCAAACATTTTTAAAATGATAAAAAAACAATGCTTCAATTTTTTGGAAAAAAAAAAAACAAGTTAACGACATTTGAAAAATATAGTTTTTAGTTTTTCAATTTAGTTTTGGTTGGTATTTTTATAGTTTAAATTAAATTTTTCTTTTTTTCTTTTAAAATTATTCCTATTTTGCGGATCAGACATATTAAACGTCATAAATGACAAACCCATTTTGCAGGCCCTTTCTCCCACAAGTTTACGTTTTCATCCACAGAAAACAGATACCTATTTAATATGAAATTCGTTCAATTCCCTTAAATGGTTTTTACAATTTATTGCTTACGCTGATTTCGACACAAACTGATCTATTTTTATTGCCATTTTTTTGTACACAAATCTTATCGCTGTGATTATCACTTGATACTTTTTATCAGCTACATGTTTACATTCCAGAAACATATTAGCGGTTATTATCAGTTTGTCCAGTAGAATAATTGCAAAAATGTGTTTGGTATATTTTACCCGAAACCCAACCATTTTCCAAATTTATGCCTAAATTTTCGGCCGTTTAGACATTTAAGAAATTAGGCAATCGAGACACTATCTTTCTTTGCCGCTAACGAAGCATACGAGATGGACTTTTGCACTGTCTGTGTCGTCACCATTTTCTTCACCTTGGGTTGCTGTTCCTCAGTTGACCGTATTTTCTTCACAGCCACTGGCTGAGAAGGGGACTTGGTCACCTTCGATGCTGCTACCTTCAGTTAGATTGGCAACTCAGCAGAAAAGATAACCTTATGTCCGCTCACTATCGCTCTGCCCTGTCCACCTGTTTTTTCACCACGTTCTCCGATGTAGCGGGTTGTTTTGATGTATCAACTGATGGGTATAGCAGACTTCGGTTTCGATGGTTTAGCAGACTTCGATTTCCTCTTCTTCCTGGCGGCCTTTTTGTAGACTTAACCTTACCCTCCCTTGCTTTGGAGGTTGATATCCGTCACCTCAGGATCCCCTTTTGAAGGCTTCTTTGTTTCAGTCTCCTTCAACACCACCTTCCTAAGATGAGCAGGGGTTTCCCGCATTCGTCGGGAGGCCTCGTACTGTTCTGCATTCGCGGATTCTGTTTAGTGTTGTTTTAGGATATGTTCTCTTGAACTTCCTAACGAACTTCATCCTGATAAACTGCAGTTCCTTATTAGTACAATTCCCTTTTCCATGGCCATCCCTGGGGATGTACTAATTTGCTTGATCCAACCCCTTTCAAAATTCGAAAATTCAACCACCTTCACAGAGTGTAGCTAAAGATCTCCAAAAGTATGCTGAGTAGGTTTGGCAGGCAATTAAGTAGATGCAGAGTTTTATGCCGGGCTTTACCACACGCCGGTCATCAATTAACCTTAAATGCACCATCCTGAAAGTAGTTGGTTCAAAACTACTCTGGTTTCTATAGGCAGACGACGTGCTTCAGCTGCAATGTATTGGGGGGTTGTTGTGACAACTCCTACTGCCATGTCCTTCAGATTCTTTTCAAACAGATCACAGCCCAGTGAAAGAGGTGTAACGTGTCAAGGTGGCCTGTGCCACATGCCGGGCAGATGTACATAGCTGTCAATCCGGTTCCAATACAAATTGCGGCGGCTGCACCATTTGGATATTAATTGCGCCAAAACTACTAGTGTTTGTCGGGGCAGCTATCCAAAGAACACGGGCATGTATTTCCTGGATTCGAATCAATCCGGGGCATAGAACTGGCCGTCGCGAGATTGTTGTTGGGAGTCGTTGTTGTCGGTTCGCCTACCTTATTGGACTATAACCAAAGATGGATGGGGTGAATCCGAGAACAATCCAGATAGGCTTCTTTATCTCTAGAGTCTCTCTCTTATAACGTTCTCCCTCTCTACATCATGTAGGCCATTCCTGATACGCCTATTAAGACTTTTTGACACCCAATTTTGATTGGTATCCAATCTATTTGTACAATCTATATGTACCCGTTCAAAGCAGGATCATACTCACACATTCTTGTGTCTAGACAGAAAACGGCGTTTCTAGTCCTTTTTTTTGTTCTGATTACGTTATAGATATTTATTATTTATTTATCTCAATTTATTTGTGTTTTGTTTTTATATCTAGGTTTTTACGCATTTGTTTACATTTGCAATTTGTTTAAATTGTTCTTTGATATAGTTGTTATATTCCAAAGTAGTGCCTGCAATAAAATATTTCAATTATATCAAAATGCAATTTAAACCGCCCCCAGAAAAGAAAAAAAACAGCCCTTATACGAATTTTTATTAATAATCCCTAAAAACCTCTCAAACTATTACATTATATATTTATATATTTATTATAAAAATAAGAATTTATATGTGTCTATTCCAATGACGATTCTGTTCTTAAAATTGCCACAAATCAAAAACAAATTACAGAAATTTATTTAATTTTTAACAACAAAAAAAAAAAAAAAGAATCTACCCAACATACCTTACCAAATGAGATACAACAAATATAAAAATATATTATTTTTCTATAATATTTAAATGTCCTCAAGAACCTCCTCCCCCACTTTATACAATATAACTACAATTTACTCAAAAAGGGATGATGTATCTATCTTTTTTAATGTTTACTATGTGTATTTTTGACCTCATTGTGTTTACTTTATAAGCAAGCAGTTATTTTTGTACAATCGACAAACAAATCTACAAAATTTAGAAAACACATTTAGTTACACATCATTAATTTATTTATTTTTTGTTGTTGTACATACATATATTTTATATATAAGTGGGCACATCTTTGTTTATGATAAACACCTTAAAGAGTATGGACATTTTTATTTTTTTATTTTTTTGTTTTTGCTTCGTTTGATATTTTGCCAATTTTTCAAATCAATTTTATGCTGACTAAGTGTGCATCATCAACGTCATTATTGTCACCATAAATTTGCCATATATTCTATGGCTAATTTACACAGGGCAACAAAATGGAAAACAATTAATTTTCACGGACAATGCAATCTGCAATTCAAATTTTATTGCTTATACGATTGGCTAAAAACGTGGCTCAAATTAAAAGGCCTACTATATAAGGTCGGACAAGAAGACAACTTTTGACAACAATTTGTCAATAAACTTAGAGGCTTTGACTCTATTGTGATTTATCTTTCTTTAATTTTCAAATCACAATTATGTATTTTTACAACTTAGTAGTCAGATGGGTCGGCCAGTAACCTTATATAGGCCTTGACATAAAGTAAACCTATTGCGTATAAATTATTTTTGAAATCTAATGAATATGCTTTTGACGTGTATCGAATAAGCTTTAAAGATTGTATCCAGTAGATTTATAAAATATGTAGACTACCCAGTTTTATATAATTTTATTCCCAAAAATTTTGTCTTTTGCCAACACAGAAGACATTAAAGTTCGTGTTTTCTCCTATACAACATCCTTTTTCTCGTTTATCTAATTCCCGTAGCACTGTGTTATACCCAAAATAATTGTGTCGTTATGTTTTATATATTTAACAAGTTGAGACTTACTGTATCGCCTACATTTTATAAATAAATTTTAATTGTAGCATTAAAATATATTTATAAATATTGTTTTTGGTACATTCTTTTGCCTATATACAAAAAAGTACAACATTTTGACAAACACGCCCTCAAATGCCTATGATGTTTGCTTGAGAACTACATATTCGTTTATTTTCTCCTTTTCTCGGAGGTTGCAGTTACCCACAATAATATTTTATATTGATTATCTTCCCTGGCTGGAGGAATGATAGAGAAATTGCAAAGAATGGGAGTACCATCCTCCATATTACATCCATGAGTATAAATTGTTACAACGTTAACGGGTTGGTATCGCAAATACAGTTATTAATTGCTCGAAATTCACATGTGCTGATATGTAGTTACCATTACCTCTCTTCTTTAATATTCTCTGATATTTCAGTTAGTAGTCGTAACAAATATAGAGATGGTATTGATTGGTTCAAGTATGTGCAGCTACACGGGAGACGATAACTTCTTCACCCGGAAGAATAAAGTTTTTGGCGATAGGAGAAATAAAGAAGCGAAAATTAGAAGAAAGAGTTTATAGAATGAAATGTAGTTAACAGGGTGGTCTGCCTAGCCAGTGGAATGCTTGTAGCAAACTTGTAAATGATAATGGGATCTGTGTCGTTAGAGCAAATCGTGGGTCGCAAAGTTTTTTTTTCGAATCATTACCGACAGGATCGTCTTTCGATCTTCACATCTATCTATCCTTCTTTGCCGCCACCGAAGCATACGAAACGACGGCCTGATATACCGTCTGTGTAGTCACAATTTGCTTTGAGTTGCTCAGTTGACCGCAGTGGGTTTAGGGGCCCTCGAGGCTGCTTCCTTCGGCGAAATTAGCATCTCGCAAACAAGACGGTCTTATGCCGGCTCACTGTAGCGTTCTTTGTAGTTGACCTGACCTTTTCCGTTATAACGTGTTTTGTTAATGCATCAACAGATATAGCTTCGACTGAGCCGGTTTTAAGGCCTGCGGTTCATTTGTCTCTTTTTCCCTTGCTTTGGAGGTTTTTGTTACTTTTGCAGCAGTTCCTACTTCTGTGTCCGTTCTGTTTCTTGTCAACCGAGTTTTGCTTCTGAAGAACGCAACCTGTATAAGTTGGGTACGTAGCGATACCGGAGCATTGTTTGTCTGGGCAGTGAAGAGATATACATTGTGTGTCATGTGGGCCTGTGCCATATGCTGTCAATCCGTATCCAATACGAATTAACGTGGCTGCACAATCCGGATCCTAATTGTGACAAACCACTCGAGCTTGTCGGGGCAGTTCTCGATGGGAGGGGAATGATCTCTGAGTATGGTATTCAATTTACTTTCCTCCATGGCATCTGGGACCGCGTCAGAGTGAATAACAATTAGTCCTGCTTGATAGTAGATCACCAGACCTATCAAGCAGGGGCTCTCTCTTATTCCTCTGTACATCTCTCTCAAGATCATGTAAGCCTTTCCTTACCTTCGGGAATCCTGCTTATCGGAAGCTCTTTCGCGTTTTTGGTGTCTGGAGAACTCAATGACAACGCCGCTCTGTCCTGCTTCTACCTCAATTCCCTATGCTTTAACAACAACAATTCCACGGTAGATTGTTGGTATTTGCGGACGAATTAGTGTGGGGCCGCAGGTCGAATTTCTTTGGGGCCAATCCCTCCTCGTCAGACAGGGACCTTCTCAGAAGTCTACGGGCATACAGACTGCAAACACTGTAACACTGGCGGAAACGTAGTCGCATAACAACCAGCATTAGAGGTCTCTTTATTTGAGGCCAGCACAGAGGTTTGACTATTTTAGAGGCGGCCAGACATAGCCTTGTCACTCTAAGAATCATTGGCACTCTGGTGTTTAAGCCGAGATTTTTGCCCGCTGACTGACCACGACTGCTTATTCAAATTTCAGGAACCCAATATATCTACTGGGCTTTCAACTATCCACGTCCTGTGTACGCATCGGATAGCAACCAGCTATGCTTCCCGAAGTCAGAAGTATAGCCATACTTGCCCGGATCGGTAGCAGATTTTTTTTGTTTTCAATGAAAATGAACAGAGGCTTAAACAACAAAGTGTTTAACCTAATTTCACAGATGTCGATTTGGCTTTTTTCACTGAATCGGTATGTGTGATCTTCCAGAATGACTGGAAAAATACAATATTTAGAATATTTTATAAATTCCGTTCACAAATCTTTTTGCCATAATTGCAAAACATGATTAGTATCTGTTTTTTTTTTTTTTTGGAACTTATTGATTTATAAGAAATTTGTATTTACCGGCCGGCTCCCAGCCGAAATGATCAAGTTTGATATTTAAAAAATTGTCTTTACATGGAAGTAAACATTGGAAAATTATCTGATTGGTGAGCTTAACAAATTTAATTTAGTACAACGTGTGTTCCATTTAAAAATTCCTTTAGTTTTCTAATTATTTATACTTTGTAGTTTTTTTTTTTTTCTTTTAAACATAATTTATTTATTTATAAATTTCCCTTAATGCAAATTTTAAAATTAATTTATTTCCCACTCTTTTTTATTTCTTTCATTTTCAGATTCCATCATTAGGCCCACTATTGCCATACACACCACATAGAAATTAGAAACAATATTGCTTATTTAAAATACATTTTTGTTTATTATTATTATTTTTTGTTACCAATCATAAAAGTAAAACTTTTTTAATTTGTAAGACATACCTAAGATATATACAAATATACATAGCTTATTAACCATACTATCACACGTCCACCCTTACCTGGTAACTGCTTGTTTACAAGGCAAAATATTGAATGTATGAATATTTTTTTTATAATAGAAACAATAAAAGTAATTAAAAAGTTTATAAACTAAATCAAAATTCTATGATCCTCCACAATTCTTCTGTATTCCAAATTCTCTATCTCTCTCTTTACCTTTATTATATTACTATAAATGTGTGTTGTTTATTTTGTTATTTATTATTATGTATTATTATTATAATTATATTAAATTATACAATATATGGAATTATTAAGGCTAAACAATTTAAATTAAAAGAGAAAAACAAATTAATTATTAATAATAATCTAAAATTATATATACATGTATATTTATTAATAAATAAAACAGAAAAAAAAACAAACAATAAAAAATTATATTTATTATTATGATTAAAGAAAAACAATACAAACAACAAACTCTTTAGTGAGTTTTTTTAGGTTAACCCAAATAGACAAATGACAAAATGGTCAATAAAAAAGGCTCCTAGGTAAACATGAAGATGATTATGAAAAAGAAAAAAACAACAACAACATATAACACCTAAAACAATACCTTATTTATTATAACTTATTGAAGAAAAGTAAAAGCAAAACGAAACTTATAATTAACCAATAAAATATTAACAAGACACAATTTCAATGTCTAATTCCTCCCCCTCCTTCTGCGCCTACTATCTTCCCCCTCCCTCTCCCTAGAAAAACATCTACAACAACAATAATAATTCTGAAAACAAAAGAAAAACCAAACTGTCTCATGTTGGAATATTAATTATACAACATTATTATATATTATACACCTATTAAACTACTTATATAATATCTATTGAAAAACAATTAAATGAATTAACAAACAAAAACAATAATATTTATAAAATAAAACCACAAAAACAACAAAACCGAAAACCTAATGAAAAAGAACAACAACGTTTGGACTAATGTATGGAAAAACAAAGATATTATATTAACAGAGTTTCGCTAAGGAGGTATATCCTTAATCCTTATTAAGCCTATACAACAACAATAATAAAGAAAACAATATACTCCGCATAGAATTACTAACTACAACATGAACAACAAAATGCAAAAAAAGACAAAAACAAGAAGTAAAAGCAAACAAACAAAGAAAAAAAAAAACACAAAACAAAAACAAATTGTGTATGATTTATGGTATAATGGAATAACGGTATTTTTTTGGGATTTAAACCACAAATGAACTCAAAAAAATAATAATTGTAATTTTCAAAAAAAAAACAAATAAAGTAATAATAAAACAAAAAAAAACATAAGACAACTAAACACAGTTATATTTATTAAATAATATTAAAAATAAAACAAACAATTATTATTAAAACAATAGTTTTATTGTGATGCGTTTGTATTAATCGACAAAACTCAAAATAGAAATATGTACACATATGCCACACAGTTCAAAGTTAGGGGAATAAAACTCCTTTTGGTAGTTAGGTGGTAAATACGGGTTAAATCGAAAAGAGAAAGTTGAATGTTTTTCTATCGCTATGATACCGAGGTATAGGGTTACATCAGAATCAATTGCAAATAAGAGTAAAAGAAGATGAGTTATGAATTGAACTTGAAGAACAACATTTCAAATCTGCATATAACTATTAGCCGAAACTATGAAGGACATTTGTTTTAGGGATGAAAATCCCAATTTATAACAACCATGCTTGAACTTCAACATTTGTCACATTGGGCATTTCTGTTTTTTAGGGGTTCCCATTGTGCAATAATTTTCAAGGTAGCACATAGTAATCACTTGAATACAGTTTTTCTTATGATAATGTCAAAACATACACATGGGTTTTGTATGTGTATGTATTATTTTGAATAATTCGCAAAAACAATATTTAAATTTTCAAATTATCTTGAAATTTAAATTTCAATTTTCGGGATTTAATCAGAAATTCAAATATTGAATATCGAGTTTCTAATATGATCTCAAACTGTAAATTTGAATTTTAATACTCAGGCGTTTTATTTGATCTACAATAGTTACATGTAACAGACAAATGTCTGTCTATGATCCATGATAACCATAGTCGTTGAATTTAAAAATCCAATATCACAATTCTTGAGAAGTATAAACAATTGAAAAACAAGTAAAAAAACATTAAGTTCGGCCAGGCCGAACTTTTAGTGCCATCCACCTTAAGGTAAAGAATTTTTTTTAAAGTATTTGAATTTAAACGCGTTCCACTTTAAACTACAAATACCAGAAAGGACGTTTGGATAATGCTATTAAACATTTCAAAAAGTTTAAATAACAAATTTGAAACAATTTCGTTGGTTAATGTGACTAGGATTTTCAAAATACCGAATATCCGTGGGAATCGTTATTTGTGCGCCATAGGAAAACGTGGACCTAAATTTTCAATGTTCCGCCACTGGAGCTACAACCCATTGCGAACTACGAATACCAATGTATAGATAAATCCGTGGAAAAATGAGGCAAAAAATGTGATACCCCACAACACTATATGTATGGAAACTCCCAGAAGTCCAAATTCATTGTGGTCTATTTTTTTTGTAAATAATGTCATAGTCATGCAAAAATGTTAACTTTGTTTTAGACCGGTTGGATTGGTTTTCAAAAAATGTCACACAAAAGTTATGGTCCATTTTACAAGGGTAAATAATATGCGGTGGTTATTTGAAATTCTGCTCTGTTCTTAATTCTAACATCGATATTAAAATATTCCACGTCGATTGGTATCGGGAACATTTTAGGTTTTGGTTCATTTAAACCCCTAAATATTTTTCAAAAAAAGGCTTACTTAAGAAATAGCACTAGTAATTATTTGATTTTTCTTATTAGGATATTTCTCTGATGACATATTTCCTTTTGAAGACATCACCAATGATGTTGTATCTCATCACTATAATTTATTAGAGTGTCATTCAGTAATTATCACTTCTTCTGTATGAAATTGATTTTTTATATTGTTATATGTCCTTCAAAGTCAATGTTAAGTGAGATGTTGACCATATATTTACAAACTAGAACCAACTATCCCGTGGACAGACGTATACATAGACGTGTCATTAAGGTACAGTGTGGGATGAAAAAACTGCAATTTCAAAGCCACTCGTCCGACAGCTAGCGTACAAAAGCATTTTGCTGAGAATTTTCCAGAAATAAAGTTATTCGTGATTGAATTCAAGCGTGATAGTGTATTTTCTTTATATTTGGTAGGAAAACCACAAATGGCTATCGTTAGAGCACTCCAGCATTTTAATGTGAAAAAATCTTTTGTGTATCGTACCATCGCTCGTTACCGTGTAGCGTAGCCCGACGTTAAGGAAGTGGATGGAAGAAAACCGCAATATCAGCCGAAATTATTCGAAAAGTAAAGAAACGGCTTGATCGAAATTGGTGAACAGCCGAATGTGGTTTTCTCCGAAAAGAAAGCATTCGTTGTTCAGCAGTTTGTAAACAAACAAAATGTAAACTTGCAAAAGAGGTCAGCTGAAAATGTGCACCTTCTGTTGGCCACCAGAACTCAAGCGCCGGTCATGGTAATGGTGTGGGCCGCCATAAGAGTTGATGGTCGCTCGTTTTAATTAATTAATCAGAATAAATGCCGAATATTATCGCGAAAATATTCTGGAGGGTGTATTAAAGCCTTGGGCACGCTAACATTTTGGCCGCAGACCTTGGACATTCCAACAGGATTCAGCACCATCGCACTCAGAACGCGTCACCCAAGAATGATTACAAAATGAGGTTCCTCTCTTCATTTCCAGCGCACAATGGCCACCAAAATCTCCGGATACCAATCCGTTAGACTATTGTGTCTGTAGCATTTTGAAAAGCTAGGTTGGTACAAAAAAATACTGAACTGTCGATCACCTCGAGCAAGCGCTTCGCCGGGAATAGGCCGAAATACCGCAGAGCAACATTCGGGGAGCGTCTGACGGTTTCGTTGGTCGTTTGAAGACCATAATTCGAATTGGCCACCGAGAAAATCTAAACTTATTCTAAAATTGGATATTTCCGACATTTTTTGCTTTCATTCAATAAAGTTAAAAAACTGTAAAAATTATGGCGTTAGACTTTGTTGCAGTTTTTTTTTTTATCTCACCCTGTATATTACAATATTACATACTCCGGCCCGCCCGACTGCAGACTTTGCTTATTTGTTTGTATCAAGGTTTAGCTTGAGAGTATTATTTACAAATACAAATGCCTAAATATTCTAATTTCCCATTTCTTTTTTTTATAATCTTTTCAAGAGAGTCCTTTTAAGTAGCACAAAAATGTGTAAAAATATTCGAAGAAATAGGTCGATTCCTTCTTTTACCCAAAATGAGTCTGGAATCACTTGAAGAACTTTTGAAATTTTGCAGGGTATTCTTCGAAATGTAAATTATGTTGTTATATTTTTTTTTCACAATTTATTGAAATATTGGAGGATGCAAATTAAATACACTTCTGGTAATGAGTCTATATACATATTAGGAAAAAATGTTCAAAGCTCCGTGAGATCTGAATACAATTGTAAGTGGGTACGAAGGACATGGCAAAAAATGGAAATAGAAGAATAACGGTAATTATGGTTCCATGTTGACTTATTTTGCACTTAATAAACACATTTACAAATACACAATACTCGGTGTGTGAAGTGAATTATAAAATTCAAATGATTTATATTTAAAAACAACAATCAAAAGTAAAGAGATTTGTTAAGGATATCTGCACTAAAAATAATATATAAAAATTAACTATCTATATATTAACCCATCTTAGGTAGGGTATACTTATATTACCAAATGTATCGTCATTTAGCACAACAACTTACCCTGAAGACATTCAAGATTGTAACAGAAGATATAGATGGACGCCTTGGATGCCGTGGCAATTTCATTGGAAAAGGTAAGCATCTAACCTAATAGTCCATATTGATTCGGTTATGGTTTTTTTTTTTTCTCTTTTGTTTCCTTTTATCACAGATCGATATCGTAAATGTTGTATTTAGGTGTATAAAAATGTTCCATGTCTGGAGAATAACATAACACAAGAAGAATATTGCATCAGATAAGTTGACCTCAATCCTTTCTTTTTTCTTCTTTCCTAAAAGCTACCACTTCCAGGCTGTTTGTTGTTCTTTATTAAAAACACGTGCTCTTTGGTGTTTAAACAACCCCCTATTTCACAATGTGTATATATATACATGTGTATGTGGGTATATAAGGATATACATACGCATATACGTTTAATGGTAGTGTTTTATTAAGAAATCGCTGGAGGATTAAAAATATCCTATTAATAAAGTCCATATTACTGAAAAGGAATAAAACAAGCAAAACAGTATCAGTCAGCTTTGTCGACAAATTTATGCCCCCAGCCATGAGTTATGATTATTCAATCTGTTGACCCTTTATGGGGAAGGTTCCGAAGCAGTTGGTCAATATTGATACGAATTGTATCTGACCTACGTCTGATATAAATATTACAAAGTGCCAGATTTGGACTATATCGACTACTTCCTATACTGTATATGAGATATTTGCATATTTTTGGATAATGTGGAAATATGCGGGAGGTAACAGTTATAGCGGACCGAAGTATTCGAAGTTCATACTTCATCTTATAATGATAAAAATATTGGTTTGTGCAAAATTTGAAGGAAACCGAACATTTATATCCCGTTTTATGCGAAATCATAAATTTCGATAAACTACATATCCCTATCAGATATTTGGTTAAGAGAAATATTTAGATATAGCAAGTTGTAAAGAATCGCCAACTTGTTTCGCAAGTTATGACAGATATAAATATTGGAAATTGTGACCCCTTGTGGGTGAGGTACCAGAAGGGGTTGGCAGATATTGTGTTAGCAAAAATATTTGGATGTATAAAATTTGAAGAGAGTTGGATGTTTATTTCGCTTTCTTTGAGCGTTTTGTTTTTCAAAACGTGGGGCAGGTACCAGAAGAAATTGTTCGATCTCTTCCATCTTTATAGCACACCTTGTGTTGATGGAAATATTATTATAATGTACCAAATCTGAATTGAATCGGATGTAAATTTCTCGTTTTAGGAGCTTCATAAATATTCAAAATTTTGACCCTTTGTGGCGGAGGTACTAGAAGGAGTGGGCCGATATTATCCATCCTCACAACAGACCTTGGTTTAATAAAAATGCTTTGATGATTGTAATTTGAAGAGAACCGGAATCTTATTTTGGATTTTATGATCGTTTTGGTTATTCAAACTTTGGTCCTTTGTGGGGAGGCTTTAGAAGGAATGGTCCGATTTCAACCATCTTTATAACAGCTCTAGTGTTTATGAAAATATTGAGAAGTGCCAAATCTGAATGGAATCGGATATTAATTTCGTGTTTTATGAGCATCATGAATATTCAAAATTTTGACCCTTTGTGGCGGAGGTACTAGAAGGAGTGGGCCGATATTATCCATCATCACACCAGACCTTGGTTTAATAAAATACTTTGATGTGTGTAATTTGAAGGGAACCGAATGCTTATTTCGGATTTAATGATCGTTGTGGTTATTGAGATGTACCAAGACTGAATGGAATCGGATGTTCATTTCGTGTTTTATGAGCTTCATGAATATTCAAAATTTTAACCCTTTGTGGGGGAGGTACCAGAAGGAGTTGATCGATATATTCCATCTTCACATCAGACCTTGGGTTAATAATAATATTGTGATGTGTTTAATTTGAAGACAATCGGACACTCACATCACATTTTATAAAAGTTATAATTATTTAAAATTTTAACCCTCTATGGGGCAGGTACTTTATAGAGTGGATCGATATTTTCCGCTTTCGCACCTGACCTAGCACTGATGCAAATATTAGGATTTGCAAAGATAGAGCAAAATCGGATTATAGTTTCTCTTATTGTGCAAAAAATATATTTTTTGAAAATTTCGACCTTTTGGGGAAGGTACCAGAAGGAGTGGACCGATATTACCCATTTCCGAACTCGATATAAGTTATATAATAATATTACGATGAACCAAATTTGGATCAAATCGGATACTCCCTTCGAGAGTTATCGTGCGCACCAGCCAGCCAGACAAACAGACGAACAGACATCGCTAGATCGACTCAAAATGTTCTGAAACAGATTTGGTCCAAAGAGACTTAGGTTTTAAAACTGTTATTTCGATATGGCACATGTACATCGTATCTCTAGCCATATGGCTGAGGGTATAAAAATTAAATTTTTATCAAGACAAATATACCTTTTTGAATTGGCTATTCTTGATCCTGTTACAAATGTTTTCCCTTATTTTACATACCACCTCTACATTCCCTTAGTGTTAATAATAGATTTTTATTTAATTTGTTATTTATTGGTTTCACATTTGGAATCAATAACAAATTTTTAAACTTTTCCCCACCGCTCCAATCCCTGTTACCATTGTCATGTGTTAAATAAGCATCCCTTTTTTCTTGCTGTGGTTCTGCGTAAAAAGCTGCACATACACACAATTTGATAGTGGATACTATGGATACTTTTAGTGGGCGTCTTCATTCATCGTTTTGCTCCATTTCACAGTTGACTGGGCGAGCTACTGTGCGATGTGTGTATGTCGTCTTCCTCTCTCTCTCCTCTTCCCATTGTCCATGGTGGTAACCATGCTTAGCGTAAAGATTCCTTGTTGACATTGAAACTGAATGAAATGAACGTGGTTGTTGTACATTGGATACATACAAACAAATATAAAAGTACATACCTACATACATATGAATCCACATGTAAGGCACCAAGTACAATATGTAATTTATTTACTAACATGTATATATGTAACCATGTTTGTATATGCTGACATAATTTCAAATCATGTTGCGTTGCTTGTTTTCAGTATCTTCTTTTGTTTAGCTTCACATCATGACAGTTTCGAAAGTAATCATGACTAATTCCTATTTGTTTTATTTCCTCTCGCTCTCCTCATGCTTTCATCTTCTGCGCTAGAAAAAAAGGATGAGCAACAGTAGGTACATACATACCATCACACATAAGTATGTATTTATAGAGAGTAAGTAATACTTTACCCAAGGCATTAGTTGAAGACCATGATGTTGGAAATCAAGACGGATACATTTTCTGTAAAGCACATGACAGAAGGCCAATGCTTATGGAAACAAAACAAAAGAGAACTAAATCCTTGGTAATGACTTAGCTGACCTATTTAAATCATGTTCCAACGCGTAATTGAGTCTTTTATATAACATAAATATGTGCGTATGTTATTTGTATGTCAGGGGATTTAAATGAAGATAGTTTTGTAACAGTCTGAGGATATAGCATTTGAAATGCCACATCATTTCTGAAATAAAGTATAACTAGTAAATTGAAAGTCAAAAGTCTGGAATTTGTTTTTTTTTAGAATATTAATGGGAAACGCAAGAATTTCATCACTTTTCAGTTACAGTTACGGGTTCACATCAGCTATGCTGTATCCTTCAGAAAAATTTTATTTTTTTATGGTACTCTCCACCATACCATTGAGGGTATATTAGTTTGTCATTAACACCTCGAAATATACATTTTAGACTCCACAGAGTATATATATTCTTGATCTTGATTCTAGCGATGTCCGTCTGTGGAAATCACTCTAGCTTCCGAACAAAATGAAGTAGATTGCAAAAATTTTACTCGAATGTATATGTATTTTACTCGAATGTCTGCAGGACTTTTGGTATTGAAAATGGGCCATGTAGGTCTACGTTTTAGTATAGCCCCCGTATAACGGTACCTCCCGATATTCGGTATTTTGATGATTTTAGCGACATTATTCACCGAATATGTTTCAAATTTGGTATTTGAAGTTCGTAATGGATACTACATAAAATTGTCTTCGTATAGCCCCAATATAACGGTATCTCCCAACATTCGGTATTTTGATGATTTTATCGACATTATTCACCGGAATTGTTTCAAATTTGGTATTTGAAGTTCGTAATGAATGCTACGGCCTAAGATAGAAAATTGTCTGTGCAGGTCCACGTCTCCGTATAGTACCTATGTAACGGTACCTCCCGATATTCGGTATTTTGATAATTTTAGCGACATTATTCACTGGAATTGTTTCAAATTTGGTATTTGAAGTTCGTAATGAATGCTACGGCCTAAGACAGAAAAACGTCTGTGCAGGTCCCTGTCTTCGTATAGCCCGCATATAACGGTACCTCCCGATATTCGGTGTTTTGCGACATTATTCACCGGAAATGTTTCAAATTTGGTAATGGATTCTACAGCCTAAGTCAGAAAATTGTCCATGCAGGTCTACGCTTTCGTATAGGCCCCATATTACGGCACCTGCCGATATTTGGTATATTGATTATTTTAGCTACATTATTCACCGATTTCATTCGACTCCGATTCACCGACTGTTGTAATGGCTTATGACAAAAGTCCGCGTAGTCATATAGACCTTAATATAAGGGCTACTTTCGGTATTTCTAAGGTTTTAACAGAATTTTTAACGGATTTTATTTTTACCCCCTAGAAAACATTAACATAGTTCTCAACTAATAAGCAAACCATGTTTTTATAATAACAACAATAATGACCGTTTTGCAACAGGATTTTATATTTTTAAAAATTGCGAAATTCGTTCCAAATGTTGGAGGGTATTCAAAGTTCGGCACGGTCGAACTTACAGCTTTACACCCTACAAAGCAATGTGTTGTTGAAGGTGGGGTTAGGGTCGGAATAGAACCTTATTGTTTTTAATGATAATCGAAAAAATTGAGGGTTTGAAATGGACGAAAAGAGAAAAATTTCGCGACGCAATTAAAAATCAATCGACACAGAATTTTGCACGAGGAGAGAGTTGTTGCATTCCACCTTCAGTGGCGCTATGGTGGGGTTCGACTTGCTCAGACGGTGGCTACCTTCAGGGGGTTCCCAACCCTACCACCACTAGCACAAGGGGAAGAACAATAAATATACATTTTTTGTACTTAACACACATATAAAACAAAACGATTACTGAATTGACATACCTCTATGATATGGAAGCTTGATGATGAACGCTTCCACACTGAGCCCGCCCAACCTTTGACCTTTTCTTTCCCTAGACGTATTCTTATTTAAAAGGCCCCGTTTTCCACAAACACTCTTACCTCAATACAGCATATCTCTAACTTCCTCCCTCACATAAATTTAGCACAACATAACGTGATTTACGATTTTACACAAAAAAAGATATTTATTGACATAGTCAGTATATTTAATCCTAACAATAATAATAATGGTAAAACATTGGTTCGGTTTATATTATAATTAGGATCATTAACGCCCATACAAAATAAAAGAAAGTTTAGATGGAGTCATTGACTCGGATTACCTTATGTTACTGATAATTGTTCAGCCCACTCTGGCTATCATTTTCTTTCTGCTTACTTTACACACCTGCCTAACAGAGCTCTTTTAGTAGGTTTAGGGCATCTTCACTTTGGCCCATAGGTTTCAACAATTCGAATTAAGACTATCTGTAATCCAGGGGTAACCCTACACTCCTATACTATATCGGTCTGGCATTAATAACCCATCACAAATCAATACACTTAAACACTATTCACACTAACTACTAATTAGTCTACTTATAACTACACAGATAATTTTTTATACGTTGGAGAATCCTTTTTTTTTTTTTTTTTTTTTTTTTTTTTTTTTTGTTATCGTATTTGTATAGTGATTAGTATGGTTTCTTATCTTTAAAAAGCTGAGTTAAATGAATAAATCAAAAGTTTTCTTTTCCTATTTTCCTTTCAGGACTTCTTTCCTAGTACTCCTACTTTTCGCACTCGGATATTAAACAAATGGTTGAGGTTCGGAGTTACCTGGTTTCCGTCTCTTTAAATATATGGCAATCCGGAACCGACTGCCTCCACACGGACTGACGGTCAATGGGTTTATAGTTGCCCACAATTATCCCGGCACGCATAGGCGGAACTTCAAATTGGGGGAAAACCAATCCTCCAAGGAAAAATAGCAGACCTCCTCTCATGCACTTCTTGAGGAGGCCCATATATATCTGGTTGTGATTGGCGCTTTCTTAAAATAAAACAAAAAGGTCTACTTGGACACATTGCTACACCAGACACACAATTATATTTACCTTTTTGGATTGTACGCACACACATGAAACACAACAAAATATATTTTAAACAAAACAATTATATTTAATAAATTATATTATGTAGACTTTTATACGATTTTTATTGTTTTTCTGAGACTTCGTTACAAACAGGTTAATCCTTTTTGACTAATCACCATTACAAAACTACCTCAATTATCCCGTCGCAGCCTTTTATATCGCGGGTACACACGCCAATATTAACTTTCCCTCCTTTCAAATTTTCCCTCAATTTTCCATTCTTCATCATTTCTTTTTGTATGCCCCATACGTGCCAAACTCACGGCAGCACAGGGTTGTATCATACTAACTTTACGACACGCACCCACATTTCCATTAATTACCCAAGTTAAGCACAAAGATGGCAACACCACTCATAACTAAGTGGCCGGTCATTCTTTCATTTCCGCCTCATTTTCTTATTGTCAGTCGGAGGTGTCAACATGTTCGGGGAATTGATTATATTTGTAAAAGCCCCACACGCAACAAAACTTCACAATATGCAAGGAATTCGAAGCAAATTGTGATGTGCGTGTTTTATTCAATTTCTCGTTCTTCGGTTTTATCTGTCTTTCAAGAAATAATAAAGGATTTTCACTAAAAAAAAGGAAGCATGATTTGCCGGTGGACCATGTGTTCCTATATATGATGCCTACAAAACAGGTAAGTTTATAAAATTATCTTCTGTGATCCGTATAGATATATTTTGATACTTATTCCTAAATTTCTTTGCAGGAAAATTCATTGATTATTTTGTTTGGTGAACATTTGGAGGTGTCTCAGTGAAACCCCGTTGCTATGCGTGTGTATACCCACGCTTCCACTATTGCCGTCGCTGTTCACTCAACATAACGGAAAGGCGTCTTACTCATGGTAATGCATTTGTTTGTATGTGTCGTTTTTTTCGATGAAGTCGCTGCCGCGATCTTAAAAGTTGTTTGTGTGTACGTGTGTATGTACACGTACACGATTCACCCCTACACATACTGGCTATTGATCTCCTTCATTCCCATTCAGTAAGACAGACTCGCACATAAACATGCAACACATATTCGGACTATCAAGTTTTTTTGAGTTTTATTATGGAAGCTTATATTCTATTTTAACTGACGTCATGGTAAGCAAATTTTGTACGTATGTCTGCATAATTTTAATTCGCTAACAAAATGTCTATTTTTTACAAATTCAGTGGCTAAGCAGGTAAACGATGTAGCTGACAAATAAAAGGATTTTTCCTGTTTGATGTTCTCTGATACAGACACATTTTCTCCCATATACCTGCTTGATATAAACGGAAACCAACCCCGTAGAGATGAATTCCGTGAAAATCTATCACGGTAAGGGTATATGGCTGAGCATCACCCATTCAAATTGGATCGTTCACACTCGTAACACAGGTAAGAAGACATGGTGTTCCTATTGAGACTATTCATGGCCTTATAGCAGGACATAACTTAAGTTAGCTTTGTGTTTACCATTGAAAGTGTGTGTATGCTATTATGTATTAACCCAGTAAATTTGTCGAAATTAGATTTTGCAAATTTTTTGTTATGTGCCTCCAACACGTTTTATGGACGTTGTTACCTTATGTTTTTTTTTTTTTTGTGGAACAACACACCTTTTATCTTGGTCTATTTTGCAGAGAAGAGAAATAGCTGTATTGCTGGAAATATTGCCTGTATTTTGTTTGGACATTATACGTGATATGGGACAGCATGTTATATTGTAAAAATCTACATTCCCATAGAACCTATTGGGATTTTATTATACTGCATAAAAAATTCAAACTGTTATAAACTTGTACTAACTCTACTTTTTTTTTTCAGGTAGTTCGCTGTATCTCTATGAATAGTACATAAACATCTGTATACTGTGGTGACGGTCCTCGTTTATATTGCTGCATTTATTACACATCACTCACATGCCGTGGCAGTCCAACGGAAAATTTTGACTTCGTGTTGAAGCAGTTCAGGTAAGTTTGTTGCAATTTTGTGTATCGTGTGGAAGATGAGGTTGATTGTGCCTTGAAATTAATTAAATCGTGAAAGTGAAACTGTGTTCGGCAGCCTGTGAAGGATATATTTACAATGTGGTAAAAAATGAGATGCGACATTTTATCGCATGCCATACAAATGATCAAAACTATATTGTTGAAAACACATACGAACCTTTACGCAATGACATAATTGTTGACTGTGAATATTTGAAATTGAAATGTTATCGTATTTTGTAAATTGCTTTACTAGAAGATAACTAAAATTGTCGCCATGGTTTCGCTAACAGATTGTGTTTAAACTTATTTATTAAAAAAAAATATGTCAACGTTTTGTTTTCCTGTCATTTAAATTTCTCGCATGCGATTATTATTCGTGTATCATATATCGCGCCTACAATTTCTTAATATGAAAAAAATTAATTTAACGATTTTTTTATCCACTACATGCATGCAAACAAAAGAAAAATATCACAGATGGTAAAAATTATTGCCGTTGTTACGCCTTTTCAACCTAATCTTCCGACGTACATTATTATACATTCTTTATTCATTTATAATATTAGCATATATTACTCACAGTATAGTATTAATTTCCATTGTTATTCTATTGTTATAATATACCTGTTCATCCTGGGCACTGCTACCAAAAACAAAAAAACATTTCGCGTTGGGTTTTTTTGACAAAAAAAAAAATCATTATAATATTGTAATAAAAACTGCATGGTTATTGGTACGCAAGACAAATTTGGCCTTTTACCCCTTCTAAAAAAATGTACTTAATGGTCCAAGGATGGTTTATCAATTATTTTAAAATCATCCACGACTAATGGTCTATGATGGTGGTTGACAATTTCTTTATAAACCCACCACTAATGGCCTATAACTGGTACTTAAAAATTTGTTTTGAAACCTTCGATCCACGAATTATGGTCTATGGGTGGTCATTAAAAAACAGAAATAAAAAAAAATAAATAATTAATGGCATTGGAATAGTTACTGGGTTTTGGTTGAACATTTGTTAATCAAAAATCCACGACTAATGGTCGATAGCCGGTATTTGAAAAATGTTTTGCGTGTTTCTAATTTCTCACAATTTCAAAAGAGCTAATCATCCTACCAATATCTCAGTTCAAAAAAATCGTTTTGTTTTGTTTTTTTATGTTTTTGAGTCAGCCACTTTCTCCGCTGTCATTACGTGGGGAACTCCCACGCCCTGAGATGTCATTAGCCGGGCACTTGCTTACTTTGACTATGATACTTAAGTACTTGGCACAATGGTAGACAATAATCTCTAGGTAAGATCATACGAGTTACAACATAGATTAATATGTGGACATGAACACTACATTTTCCTTAATCTATATTGCACTTGGTTATGATATCACAGATTTTATTGCACCTTGTTCTAGACTTTAATGTCTTTGGCGTGATAATGTCCTAGAGGTTGACCTTGAAGGGTTTCCAACTCGTACATGTTGTTTCCGACTGCTTTCACCACTCTGCATCTGAGAAATTTTTTGCAAAATTTTGCATTAATATTATTTTTGAAGCTAGAAAGAATGTGATTACGGCGGTAGACCTCCTGTCCCGGACGAAAAGTAATGTTACGTGATTTATAGTTGTATCTTTGTGCACTAGACTCGTATGCCCGATGCAAGTTGCTTTTAATTCTTTCTCGCATCAATTCCAATCGGTCGGAATTATTCAATTGGGCTATTTGGTGATCGGTTAGGGACATCAATTTTTTAGCTAACTTATAATCCGTACCGCTGGTGAACATATTGTATCCAAATAGGGCGAAAAATGGATTGACGCCAGTCGCGGAGTGTACCGATGTTCGGAGAGCCTTTTCGATTTCAGAAAGGTACAAATCCCAGTCGCGGTGGTCCTTTTCGACATAGGTCCTTATCGCTGCAAGTACCGATTGGTTTACTCTCTCCGCCGCATTTGATTGTGGGGAGTAGTACGCTGTCTTTAGATGGGTAATTTTGTGGGCCTTTATCATCTCCTCGAACATTTTTGACACAAATTGTTTCCCATTGTCAGAGTGTATGATTTCTGGAGTTCCAAATATCTGAAATACCTGATTTTCTAAAAATTTTATGACGTTTTGAGAAGTAGCCTCTTTCATTGCGTGTAGGAAAGTAAACTTGGTAAAGTGGTCGACCACTATAAATATGTAAGAATTTCCTTTCTTGGATCGAGGGTATTTCCCAAGAAAATCTATATAGATTTTCTGGAAAGGCCTCTCAGTCACTACTTCTTTGCCGATGGGAGGGCGCATAATCTGGTTAGCAGATTTAGTTTCTTTGCAGACTTGGCAATTATTTATGTACTGCTTAACTTGTGATGCCATTCTGGGCCAGTAATAAAACGTTCTCAGCCGATTCAAGGTTTTGTTTATGCCTTCGTGGACAGATTCGGTGTAATTATGTGCCTGCTCAATAAGAGGATATGTAATATCCTGGGGTATCCACAACTTCCATTCAAACTCCATGGTCTCCTCTTCAAAGTGCTTCATTCTAATATAAATTTTTTCGTTATCTACTTTCAAATCTGGTAGTCTCTCTTGATTTTCCAATATAGTGCCTCGCAGTTCCACATATTCCTCGCTTTCGAATGCAGTGGTTTCAAAATCCAGGATATCTTCATTAACGATCTCTTCTGCAATTACCTCCGAGTCTACGGGCATACGAGATAGGGTGTCAGCCACCACATTCTCTGCCCCTTTTCGATGTTCGATTGAAAAGTCAAAGGCTTGGAGCTGCAAAGACCATCTAGCGAGCCTTCCGCTCAAATCTTTTAGAGACATTAGCCACTTGAGGCTGGCATGGTCCGTGATGATCGTAAATTTCATTAATTCCACGTAAGGGCGGAATCGTTTTACGGCTAATACGGCCGCCAGACACTCTTTCTCCGTTACTGAATAATTACGCTGGCAGGCATTTAATTTTTGCGAGTAGAAAGCTACCGGGTTCTCCTCTCCATTTTCATCCTTCTGGAACAGAACTGCTCCTATTCCGTACTCAGATGCATCACACTGAATGAAGAATTCCCGGCGAAAATCGGGATGGCGAAGTACCGGGGCGGATGTCAAAGCCCTCTTAAGTGCATTAAATGATTCCACAGCTTGAGGTGTAACATTGAATTTTTGTCCTTTTTTAAGAGTGTCGGTGAGAGGCGACGATATTGTAGCGAAATTCTTGATAAATCGTCGGTACCACCCGGCGGTTCCCAAGAAACTTCGGACCTCTCTCGGAGATTTCGGTATTGATATATTTTGAATGGCCATTACCTTTTCGGGGTCGGTTTTTAGACTTCCATTCCCAATAATAAAACCGAGATATTTCAATTCTCGGAAGCAAAATTGGGATTTATTTAATCCAATCGTCAGGTTGGCCTTCCGGAGACACTCTGCGACTTCATTTATTAACCAGATGTGGTGATCGAAATCATCTGCGATTATGAGGAGGTCATCTAAATAAATAAACACGTTTGATTTAAGTCGACCAGGTATTACGCGATCCATTAAACGGCAAAGTCTCTGTGCCGCGTTGCACAGACCAAACGGCATTACGCGAAACTGGTACAGCGGTCGACCTGGTACGGTGAAGGCGGTGTATGGTTTGGCTTCATCCTCCAATTCGATTTGCCAAAACGCATACTTCAGGTCGACGCTGCTAATGTAGTACGTTTGGTCTATCCTACTTAATATTCCGTCTATATTTTGCAAAGGATAGGCATCTTTGACTGTTAATGCGTTTAGCTTTCGCGCATCAAGGCAGAACCTATTTTTACCCGGTTTTCTTACTACGGTGGTTCTATTGCTCCACGGCGAATCACTTTCCTCGATCACCTTCAAAGCAAGCATATTGTCTATTTCATTGTAAACAATATCTTGTACAGCAGGCGACAGTGGGTAGTGCTTGTCTTTGACTGGATTTGCCCCTTCTATCAATTTAATGGCGTGTTTTTCCAATTTGGTACACCCGAGGCCATTCTTTTCGAAAGTGATGAACTTGTCTACTGCTTCGGCTAGTTTCTTCTGTTGATCTTCATCCAGTACATGCATGTTAGTTTTTTCGTTAATAGAATTGCCGCGAATTTTCCGTTGTAGGTCGATCCCTACTTCTTCTATGGAAACGATATCTGGCGCTATCTGAAACAGTTTCCAGAAATCGATTCCAAGATACAACTCCTGTTCTAAGTCTGGGCATAAAAATATACACATTTTGGCTGATTTTCGTTGGTATTCGATGTCCACTTCAATTTTCCCTAAAATGCGATGGATTTGTCCTGAGGCGGTACTAACATTTATAGTATAGGGATTTATGTCAATTTCCATTTCTTCCAATAATTCCCTACAATTTTTTCCTAATAGGCTCACAGTTGCCCCTGAGTCTAACAAACCCCTGATCTCTTTGCCTTGTATTTTAACCATGGCGTACGGCCTTGGATCTTTTCTCTCTCTGTATCTCAAAATAGCTTCAGATACCGATCTCTTTAATAACTTGTTTTGTTTTTGTCTCAGTCTTAATTTTTTTATTTTTTCTCGATTTTTAGTTGACTTGTTTTTTATGCTACCAATACCTAAATCTTGATTATGGTTTTGATTGCCCAGAAAAATTCTGCTTCTCACTTTGCTATAGTTTTTTTCTCTATCCTCTAAAGGTAAATAATGACGGATTTTTGCATAATCTTCCTGGCATACATCGTTTTTTAATTGGGTTGCGAATTTGTAATTGCGGGTTGCTCTTGTGAACGTTGATTCCCCGCCACAATCAAGTTCTTCTTGGTGTTTCCCGCCCTGCAGTTTGCGCATTTTGGAGCGGTCGTATTTTGTTTTCCGCATTTGAAACAAAAAAAATTTCTTTGGGAGGAAGAACAATCCCTAAAACCATGGCCGGGTTTCTGACAGTTCCAGCATATAATTTGCGATTTAATTGCCGAAACATCTACGACCTCTTCGTTTTCGTCACAAATAGGAAAATTTTCTGCGTCTTCTTCAACCTGCATAGCGTTAACCCTTACCGCCCTGTTATTGGTTGTTGGCTGTATTGTTGTAAAGTCTCTACGAAAGAAAGTCCTTTCCACCTCGAGACATTCCACCCTTAATTGCTCTAATGAAGACACATTCATGGAATACACTATGCCTGATAGGTTCTTTCTAAGGTTCTTCTTCACCAGCGAAATCATCTCAAACTCCGAGACAGGTTTTTCTAATCTCGACCTCATCAGATTTATGTCATGGAAAAACGCGTCGATCGACTCGCCAGGCTGTTGCTTACGTTCTAATAGATCGCGCATTTCCTCAAAGCAGGTTCTTCTGGTTTTAAACCTTTCTAAGAGTAAATATTTTAGTGACTCCCAAGAGGATACATTACCATTTTTAAGCTGAAGCCAGTACCATTCTTGGGCAGGTCCCGATACTAACACATGTAATTCGCCTAAAATGTCGTTCCAGTCCAATTTATAGGAATTTTTGAAATACTCCAATCGATATATGAAATCCTCTACAGATAAACTGTTAGGTCTGCCTGAGAAGTTTATTCCAAACCTTTCGATTTTTATGCCCTGACTACTAGGGACACTCATGGCTGACGGCGTTACCGTATTTGTACGATTCATATTTGGGAAGGTTTCTTGGCTGACAGGTGGAGATGGGACTCCAGAATTAGCGGTTGGGTTCACTTGAGGTATGGGATTTTGTGGGGAGTTTCGCCCACTAATGGACAAATTTGCAACGGTGTCGTTTAACTTGTTTATTACAGAATATACCTGCCCTAGTTCTTTGGAAACGCTTGCCTGTACTAGGGCATTCAAATTTGCTTGCGCATGATTTAAACTGTCCTGAACCAGGCTTCTTACGAGTTGGTCAACTTGCATAGGATGAGTGGGTTGTACTGTGGGTTGGGTATTAGGTTGAGATATGCTTGCCGCAGCACTAGTGCTGGGGTTGGGGTTATTTATAGTCTCTGACATATCCCGGAAACCCGGATCAACGTTTACATTAGGGTTTTGCATTTTGGAATTCGATTCCCCTTTTGTAGACTTTTTCTTTTTTGGTGATTGAACAGAAGTCCTACTTAGGTCAAACACTAAACTTCGATTTCTCTTACTGCGCCTTTTATTAGCTGTATTATCGCTCATTAGATCGCAATACCAAAAGTTAAAATTCTAAAATTTGGGATGAGGTTGTGATTTATAAGAAAAAAAAAATAAGCTTAAAGCGTACACTACTAGAAACTACTTAACATAAAGTCGGGTACAGTAAAATGAGTTAAGCTAAAAATAAAATCGGTTAATAATAAAATAAACTACTACGAACACAAAACGGATAATAAATTTTTTCTTTAACACTTATACACAAAACGGGAGTAACTTAGAGGTGTTTTCAGCTATTATGTGGCGAAGTGTGTGGATTTTTTTGCTCTTTTTTCTGAAATAGCAACATATTTATACTACAGTGTCCTAATTTGGTTATCATAGGGTATTACTTAGAATGGAATTTCCTAATGGATATATTCATGCATAAAGGAGTAGCTTCGCGGCAGTTTCCTATAGTTCTCATCTCGCGACTTGAGAAATGTTTTTCAATACAGTATATGACGTATATCGTCATATCAGTTATTGCAACTTTTCCCTAGCTATCCTTAATCTATTGATTTTACTCTAATAATACAATTTTAAATGACGAAAACATAAAAACGGTCAAACATACAATACATTCATTGTTACACTTAACGAACAAGAGATATTGAACTTGACACTAACATGGAACGAACTATCCTAATTCTCTAACTCTCTAAACAAAATATTGCACATTATATCACAGTTTTTTACAAAAAGAGTGGCTGCAATATTTGTTAGCTCGTCTAGAAAATGTGATATTCGTTTAAAATTATTGTTCCCTATTGGCTATTGCAACGTGCTTCGCTGTTATTGCACGATTTATTTTTTTATCGCCTATCTGGCATACCCTTTTATTGTATTTGACACCTTTAAATTGTGTGTATATGTAGGTTGGTGGTATCTTGCCTGAGATAGAAGCGATAAGGTATTGTAATTTAAATTTGGGCGCCATATTGTTGCATTCCACCTTCAGTGGCGCTATGGTGGGGTTCGACTTGCTCAGACGGTGGCTACCTTCAGGGGGTTCCCAACCCTACCACCACTAGCACAAGGGGAAGAACAATAAATATACATTTTTTGTACTTAACACACATATAAAACAAAACGATTACTGAATTGACATACCTCTATGATATGGAAGCTTGATGATGAACGCTTCCACACTGAGCCCGCCCAACCTTTGACCTTTTCTTTCCCTAGACGTATTCTTATTTAAAAGGCCCCGTTTTCCACAAACACTCTTACCTCAATACAGCATATCTCTAACTTCCTCCCTCACATAAATTTAGCACAACATAACGTGATTTACGATTTTACACAAAAAAAGATATTTATTGACATAGTCAGTATATTTAATCCTAACAATAATAATAATGGTAAAACATTGGTTCGGTTTATATTATAATTAGGATCATTAACGCCCATACAAAATAAAAGAAAGTTTAGATGGAGTCATTGACTCGGATTACCTTATGTTACTGATAGTTGTTCAGCCCACTCTGGCTATCATTTTCTTTCTGCTTACTTTACACACCTGCCTAACAGAGCTCTTTTAGTAGGTTTAGGGCATCTTCACTTTGGCCCATAGGTTTCAACAATTCGAATTAAGACTATCTGTAATCCAGGGGTAACCCTACACTCCTATACTATATCGGTCTGGCATTAATAACCCATCACAAATCAATACACTTAAACACTATTCACACTAACTACTAATTAGTCTACTTATAACTACACAGATAATTTTTTATACGTTGGAGAATCCTTTTTTTTTTTTTTTTTTTTTTTTTTTTTGTTATCGTATTTGTATAGTGATTAGTATGGTTTCTTATCTTTAAAAAGCTGAGTTAAATGAATAAATCAAAAGTTTTCTTTTCCTATTTTCCTTTCAGGACTTCTTTCCTAGTACTCCTACTTTTCGCACTCGGATATTAAACAAATGGTTGAGGTTCGGAGTTACCTGGTTTCCGTCTCTTTAAATATATGGCAATCCGGAACCGACTGCCTCCACACGGACTGACGGTCAATGGGTTTATAGTTGCCCACAATTATCCCGGCACGCATAGGCGGAACTTCAAATTGGGGGAAAACCAATCCTCCAAGGAAAAATAGCAGACCTCCTCTCATGCACTTCTTGAGGAGGCCCATATATATCTGGTTGTGATTGGCGCTTTCTTAAAATAAAACAAAAAGGTCTACTTGGACACATTGCTACACCAGACACACAATTATATTTACCTTTTTGGATTGTACGCACACACATGAAACACAACAAAATATATTTTAAACAAAACAATTATATTTAATAAATTATATTATGTAGACTTTTATACGATTTTTATTGTTTTTCTGAGACTTCGTTACAAACAGGTTAATCCTTTTTGACTAATCACCATTACAAAACTACCTCAATTATCCCGTCGCAGCCTTTTATATCGCGGGTACACACGCCAATATTAACTTTCCCTCCTTTCAAATTTTCCCTCAATTTTCCATTCTTCATCATTTCTTTTTGTATGCCCCATACGTGCCAAACTCACGGCAGCACAGGGTTGTATCATACTAACTTTACGACACGCACCCACATTTCCATTAATTACCCAAGTTAAGCACAAAGATGGCAACACCACTCATAACTAAGTGGCCGGTCATTCTTTCATTTCCGCCTCATTTTCTTATTGTCAGTCGGAGGTGTCAACATGTTCGGGGAATTGATTATATTTGTAAAAGCCCCACACGCAACAGAGTTTTTGGATCATATTTAGCGGATAAAATGTACCACAACTTTTATGTGAAACTGTTTTAAATATCAATCAGCACGACAGAGAGGGGTACAGAGGGCCAATGCCCGTTCAAAACCAAAAAAATTGCAACATATTGTAGTGTTGTAGGGTATCAAATGGTCGGCGCCGCAGGATTATAGCATTTGTTTACTTCTTCTAAACTAGAGTTATTTCCAATTGGTAGTCATGTATATCCTTACTGGCTGCATTGATAAAATACTGTGGAACAGACGCAGCAACTACCACATCGCGTTTTGATGTGGTGGAATAACCGGTCCAGAAATTATGACAAAAAAAGGCATTAAGACCATCGACTACATACTACTATTTTCATAATTTTTCTTGGAATAGTTTATAAAACATGCCAATGGACATAAATTAATGCCACTTACCTTCGCATTTTTATGTGTTCTACTTCTGCTTGTTACCAAAATGCCTTCTTCTTCCTTATATCTAACAGCCTATTCTCCACTTTCAAGAGTTCATCAAATTTAATTCTTATTATTAATAAAAATATCTGCAAACAATAAAGTATTGACTTTTGTTCCAAATTCAATATTTGCTTGACTGGTAAATTGCTATTGTGAATGAACGGCAAAGAGCCAATGTGAACAAATGTAAATTGTCGATAACAACGTGAGTATATAATCGATAATGTCGTATGTTGTTCTCACAACGGCAGTTTCATGTCGATAGTGCCATTTCTATCAATAGACCCGTTTTTTTGTTTGAAAAAATCTTTAAGTTTGTAACCATTTACTCGAATCATATTCCTGTAGCATGTTTCAATAATTTCAAGTTAGACCATTGCAATCATCTGAATATAGATTTTATTCTTTCGCTAGTCTTGTAATGTCAAAACATATTTTTTGAAAAATAAAGAAAATAATTGAGAAAATTTTCAAATTCTGTTGTAATTTATATTCGTATTTACAGCTTTCTAGAGAATAAATGTTTGCGTTGTAGGAATTGTAATTTTATTAGGAACTTGATATTGTGAAAAATCAGTCAGTGAAGAAAAGTGTCAAGTAGACAAAAAACGTTATTAGTAAAATTGAAGTTACAAGACTCTAGCTTCTTTAAATATAATAAGTATATAAATCTGCCCAAACTTGTAATTATTGTGCCATGATTAGTAGCACAAATCAAAGTAAAGAAACATTATTATTTTTATTTTTGAATCAAAACAGATTTGCCTGTGTGATATGGGAGCCCAGTCCAATCGTCCGACAGCTCTTAAAATTATTCCAGTGACAGCTCATTATATTGTTTACAAGCGCACAAATGCATTGCAATGTGGGATTCCTTTATATTTGGCTGGACACCACCAGTGGCTATCGTTAGAGCACTCCAGCATTTAAATGTGAATAATTCTTTTGTGTCTCGTACCATCGCTCGTTACCGTGATACTGGCAGCGTAGCCCGACATCAAGGAAGTGGACGGAAGAAAACAGCAACATCAGCAGAAATGGTTCGAAAAATAAAAAAGCGACTCCCATTCGGCAAATATTGAAAAATGAGCCCGGTGTAAGAGGGCAGCTGAAAATGTGCACCTTCAGCTGAAAAGGCCACCAGAACTCAAGCGCCGACCATGGAGTGGACCGCCATAACAGCCGACAGTCGCTATCCGCTCGTATTAATCGACCATGATATCTGAATAAATGCAAAATGAGAAATGAGGTTCTTCGCTTCATTTCCAGCGCACAATGGCTACAAAATCTCCGGATACCAATCCGTTGGACTATTGTGTCTGGAGTATTTTGGAAAGCAAGGTTGGCACTAAAAAATACCAAAATGTCGATCACCTCAAGCAAGCGCTTCGCCGGGAATGGTCCAAAATATCACATATCAACATTCGGGTAGCGTGTGAAGGCCATAATTCATGCCAAAAGTGACCAATTCGAACAAATTTAAACTTATTTTAAAATTTGATGCTATTTCCGACATTTTTTTTCTTTCATTCAATAAAGTTTAAAAAAATTTTAAAATTATGGCGTTTGAATTTGTTGTAGTTTTTTATCTCACCCTGTAGTATCAATGTTAAATAGGATACCGTTGCTCATGCTATCAATTCACTCATTTTTCAGTGAATGGTTTTCTTTCGTCTGCACTGCATTACCAATGTAGATTTTTTTCTTTCGTGTGAAATGGCATCATAAAATAATGAAATGGCAAATAAATAAAATAAATAATACATATCTCAGGTATTTGAATGAAAAAAATATTTAAATATGTTGAAAGAATTTATATTAATGTTGCGCTTAAAACATGCAAGAATCATGGTAAAATTCCAAATAATCATTCCCATCTCTGCATTTTCTGCAATTTACCTTGTCACATTTCACTACATAAAAACAGGTCCCATATCTGATTTGTGTATGCACAATGGATTTATAAATACCAGTTTTGACAATGAGATGTCAAATGAATAATTTTTGAAAAAATCGTAAACATATGATTAACATGGCAAGAATGTAAAAATTGTTCTTTAATTAACCATTTTCCTCTATGGTTTTGGAATACAGCATAGATTTAAATAAATCTGCTGGAATTTAAAAATTTTTCCTACGACCACCGTTTCCCCTTATCTCCCAAAAATTGATAAAAAAAATGTAAAAACTAAATGACAATTCTTCAAGATCAAAGTATTGGTCAACATGAAGCTGGAAATTAAGCTAATTTTCTTTATTCGGCGAAATTTGTTAATCTTAGTTTTTTTCTGACCTAAATTTAATAGCTTTTTTCAATCTAATTTTTTTTGAGCGAAGCGTTATGCGTTTTTTTCATGTCACATGTCGTTTATAAAACAACAAAGGCTTTTGACCCTGATTGTTTATTTGGAAATGTTGTTTTTATTTATACTTCCCTGATGGGAAACGGGTAACACATATTTCTCATATCATTCATATTGAAATTCTCATTGTGGCCCTATACCTTGTGCCGGTGTCGATAACACCATTTACCATCAGCTGTTTCGTTTGGGTCGATATAAATGTTCATCTTCGCAACTGTCAAAATCGCAATGACGTATGACGTTTGATTGTGGTCATTTTTTCTACCAGAGTTGTACGTGTCGTCGGGGTCGGTAGTGTTCTTATTTCCAACAATTTTTAAGACCAATCAGAATTATATTTTGCTAACCAGAAAAATACCATACCCATCCCATTTGGCATAACTTTTGATTTATCAAAATTTTTCGTTTCATTTTTTCTCAAAGCATAAAAATTAGTTTTGTGAAAAACTTGATGTGCGCGAGCTGATGGTGCTGTGTGTGTAGAAAAAGAGGAAAAATCAAAAAAGCATAAAAAAGAAGTGACGGAATTTTTCCAAAAATAAGTTATCGTTCGGCTTTGCCAGCCTGCCGTGAATCATAAAACAAACAACTAAACAGCACTAAAGCACTAATATCAGTGTTTAATTTTGGGGCGGTACAAAAAAGTTCAGCGCTATCAGAAAAAAAAATCAAGTCAACGAAAAAATTTGAAAATTCTTGAGAAGTTATTTATTGTGTGTGTTCGGAAGCAAGGAAGATAAGAAGACAGATATTGCAAAATGTTTAGTTTTTTGAAACGTGAAAAGAACAACCAAGAGGTGGTGGAGAATGTCATTGGCGAGCTGAAGAAGATCTACAAAAGCAAATTGCTGCCCCTAGAGGAGCATTACCAGTTCCATGACTTCCACTCACCCAAACTGGAAGATCCTGATTTCGATGCCAAGCCCATGATTCTGTTGGTTGGCCAATATTCAACAGGTAAAACCACTTTCATTCGTTACTTGTTGGAACGTGATTTCCCTGGTATTCGCATTGGCCCCGAACCCACCACCGACCGCTTTATTGCTGTCATGCACGACGACAAGGAGGGTGTTATCCCCGGCAATGCCTTGGTAGTTGATCCCAAAAAACAATTCCGTCCTTTGAGCAAATACGGCAATGCCTTCCTCAATCGTTTCCAATGCTCATCGGTCAATTCGCCAGTATTGCAGGCCATTTCCATTGTTGATACCCCCGGTATTTTGTCGGGTGAGAAACAACGCATTGACCGTGGCTACGATTTCACTGGTGTCTTGGAATGGTTTGCCGAACGTGTAGATCGTATTATTCTGTTGTTCGATGCCCACAAATTGGATATTTCCGATGAATTCCGCCGTTCCATTGAGGCATTGAAGGGTCATGACGACAAGATTCGCATTATCCTCAACAAGGCCGATATGGTTGACCACCAACAGCTGATGCGTGTCTATGGTGCTCTTATGTGGTCTTTGGGCAAGGTATTGCAAACACCTGAGGTGGCCCGTGTCTACATCGGTTCTTTCTGGGATCAACCTCTGCGTTTCGATGCCAATCGTCGCCTCTTTGAAGATGAAGAGCAGGATCTCTTCCGCGACTTGCAGTCACTGCCACGCAATGCTGCCTTGCGTAAACTTAACGATTTGATTAAACGTGCCCGCCTCGCCAAGGTACATGCCTTCATTATTTCGGAGTTGCGCAAGGATATGCCATCCGTTTTCGGCAAGGATAGCAAAAAGAAAGATTTGATTAAGAATTTGGGTCAAGTCTATGATCGTATTCAACGTGAACATTCGATTTCACCTGGTGACTTCCCCGATATTAAGAAGATGCAGGAGGTTCTGCAACATCAAGACTTTACCAAATTCCATTCGTTGAAACCCCACCTTTTGGACATTGTCGATAATATGTTGGCCAAGGATATTGCCAAGCTGATTGAGATGATACCACAGGAAGAGATGACAATGGTTTCGGAGCCCATGGTTAAGGGTAAGTTCAGAAAATTGATTAATTTAAGGGAGGGAAGAGTGTCAATTTTAGAAAAATGTGATGATATTGTTGTTTAAAGATTTTTAATAGATTGACTTGAAATATAACGCACCTATATTGAAAGCTGTTGGTCTTATCCAGGGCTTAAATAGCTGTAGTAAATAAAAAATATCTTAAA